TATATGCTTTTGTTTTAATTGAATTACCATGATTTTATTATTCAAATGGTAGACCCATTTTAAACAGGTGTAAAAACATGAATATTATAAGTATCAATTTTGATTCTTTTATTTAGAATTGTATTACAAAATTGGTTTATTTTACAAAAATAATAGTTTAAGTGAAAGAGTAAACTAAAATGGAGGAACAGTAAGTTCTCTTACTGTTAGTTACTATTACCATTAAAAATACTATTTGGCATGTGCCCTTTAAAAATCATTTCAGAACAAAAAAACTGCACATGCAAAGACATAATTTAATAGAAAACATAAACATTTCCATTTAAATCAATTTGTATTTTCTTCCCACATATTTATGTAACCTGACTAACTTTCACAACTGATTTTGCTGCAAATCTCTTAAATCGTCTTGAGAAAAGATGTTAGGATTGAATATTTAATTGCACATTTCAGGGAAGGAAAAACACAAATTGAAAACCAAGACATCTATCTTCTTATTAGACAATGAAAGTTGAAATATTGTTTTTATTACGCTGCCAAACAAATGTTTTTTTTTCTTTTTCACATCAAAGAGCTTTGTATTATGGCAAACCACCAACCAAGAGCTGTGCGTTTTGTTCTTAATGAAATACAAATGCAAATAACATGAGAATTATGAGGCTATGGAGTCTTATGATTCCTGGAGTCTCAGGAATGGCAGACTTTCCCCTTAAATAAGAAGGGTAAATATGTCACAAGACACTGTTATTTATATTGGTGCACTGGGTGAAGAAACACAGTTCATAAAGTATAATAACCTTCGTGATTTCATTCCAGGCTTTGAAAACCTGCTTTTGTTTTTCATTACGAACTTAGTGTTTACTGCAGGGCAAAATGCAGAAAGACAATGACCTTACTCATCTTTGGCTAAGTCCACTGCAACAAAAGAGACTCTTATTGTAAATTGTGTAAATGTGCTCTAATACAGTATGTACTGGACAACATGAGTGGTGCAAATAGTATTTGTTTTGAATGTATTTTACCCCACCTGGCTAAGTGAACATTCGGGTTCCAAGATTCATTTAACCCCAGTTTGTGGGAAAATAACCAAAAATAAAAAATTGTAGAAATTAGTTGCAGCTTATTCCTTCTCATTACAGGGCTAAAGGAATCAACTTTATAAATCCTATTAATCCTATATAATTATAGTACTATATAATATAAAGTACAGTAATATATAATATGCAGTACTATAATCATAGCTTTATACTATTTTTATATTAAGATTATTATTTATGTTATGATTAAAGTTACTGTGCCAGCCCTTAGGTATTTAGATAATTAAAAAGTTAGGTGCGATGTTTTTAAAATGTGCGATTTTAAGTTGGTATGTTATGAATGATATTTTTAAGAGACATGTAAGAACCCAAATGTAATCAACTGTGTTGGTTCGGAATCTACTGTATCAGCATGATTGATTTTGGTGAATTTTACACGGAAATGATACGGCTCCTTTAGCATTTTGTTTTTGTAAGAGCAGAATCACGAAGGTCACAAAACCTCAACAATGCTGCAACATTATCTTCTCCTTTGCAGATGTTTTGTCTAGCAATGTTGGTTACATGCCTCTTCACCTGTCATCTCTGCCTTGTCTGAGCATTTGATAGGTCTGTTATGCTGCTGTGGATATCCGGCCTTGCCTGTCACTACACTGCAGGCAAATATGATCTGCTCTGGAAGTTAGTTACCTTAACCATGTAAGGACTTGTCAAGTGACCTTGATTATCCTCTCATTTCCCCTCGGGACAGTTTTACTGTCCTTGTCTTCTTCTTTTAACTCATATTTTTTATTTTACTCCTTCTTACCTAAGTTTGAGATTGAAATTCAGGGATATAAATATGTGTGCCATTAATTATTTAGATGGATTGTACTGTATATATCCAGCATTAATTGCTTTAGATATATCTTCTTCTGAGAACCTAGGAAGTTGGCTTTGCAATCGAAACTCAGTTACAGTGTCAGAAGGATGTTGAAAGAACCATAAACAGACATTCAACACAATGTAATTCTTCCATCCCAGTCATAATGTTTTATAATTGAATGAAACCCATTGCTTTGCATACACCGAACTGTCTTTGAACTGGTTTTAAAGGGAGCTGGACATTTACATGCAAAACCTTGAGCTAGTTTTAAAGGTAGCTGGACATTTACATGCAAAACCTTTTTTTTTGTGTGATCGAGATTCTCACTGTCATTTTCCATTTCCATTTTCCTCTCATTTTCCTAAAGAGTTTTGCAAATGTTCTGCAAATGAGGGAAATGGAGGGTGGGGCTTGGTATTTAAATTAGGCGTGTATAGGCATAATTCAAATACGAAGAGTGAAAAGTGTGTATATTTATATGAGACACTCCTGAGGAAATTTCCATGGTAGAAAGGGTGTGACACATCTGGCAGCTGGGTACTGTAGCACAGATTTGTTAATAGGTGAGTCCAACTCAAATGGACACAAGCACAGCTGTAAGGTGCAAGACTAATGCTCTTCATTTTACAGCGTGACAGAAGGGGAAACCACAACCACAGCTCTTCTCTGAGCTCATAACTAGACGTCTTCAGTCAATGTCTATAACACACCTGGCGGCCAAGCTGCTTACCGGATTCACAAAATACTTTCAAAACTCTTCTCAAAATGAAAAAAAGCACACCATGGGTTAAAATTTCTATAAACCAGACAGGAGGATTCCAAAACCTTTACCGACTCAAACTGAGTTCTCTCTTTCTCTCTTGCCAATCCCCTGCAAGTCTCTACTTCCTGGTTTTTAAATAATTTTCCTCTAGCTGGTCAGGTGACTGAGGGCAACAGGACATGGCCCATAGCTTTTTTTAGGCCAGAGCTGTCATCGTGCCCGAGCTCGCTGTTCCATCAAAACAAAGTGCAGATGCACTGAGGGATCTTGTCTGTGTTTTCAAACGAATTGTATATTGTCAGCTCCGGCACCGATTTCAAACATGACTGGAGAGACATTGTACGTGCATCTACATTATGTCACTAATATGGATTTTGGTCATTTTATGTAATTATTCACAAATAATTACATTTTCCGTGTTAAGTTATTTCAAGCTTTGTGGCAGAAAGCTTTGTGACAGAGACATTGAATTTTAGCCTCCCTGATGCTGCGGATATTGACTGCTGAGTCATCCCAAAGTAGGGGTACCTGGTTGGGAATTGAATTTAGATAAGAGAAGAAGGGCACTTATAGAAGAGATTGAGTCTGTTAGGACAACAGTTTAAACAAGCAGACGACAGCCGTACATGAGTGGGTAATGTAGTGTCCTGTGGCTCCCCACAGGCATGAAGTCTGGGATGCCTAAAATGGAGATCCCAGTAAAGCAAGTAGATCTCCACCAGATCCTGAGACAAGATTTGATGTCTGATCATCACAGATATCACCACGAATATAGGCATTTCTGTTATGTGTCTTGCTGATCATCTGCTTAGATTAAACAAAAATCTCTATCAAGTATGACTTAGAACTAAATAATGTATGCAGTTAAAAAATGAATGGTTAAGTATTGCAAAAATATTATAGTGTTTTTGTATTATGTGTTATTCATTTGGGTATTATTTGATATATACAGTATTCAGGTCCTAATGAAGGAAAAGTTAAAATATCTCGATGCAGAGCAGCTAATTATTCATTCATGGTTTTGTAATCACAGAATGTCACAGATAAAGATTCACACATAACGTTCATAACATTTAGGTACTGTTGTTGTAATGTTAAAACAGTTCTAGTATTGAGATTTTTATTAATGTTGTAATTGCTTCTTCCTTCTTTGTTGTTGAAAAAATAATAAGACTTAATGATGTTAATCATTCTGTTTGACCTGCTAGGTTAGAGAAGTGCCGTTGCAAATCAGAAGACATACCGTAGTGGACTTAGCCTGGGCTTATTGAAAGTCTTAACACTTCCTTCAGGGTATCATGGTGCAGTGTGACTGCCTGCCCACCTACAGTGCCTTCAAAACGTATTTACCCCCAGCTGAACTTTTATTTCTCTTAATTCACACAACATATGCAATAAAAGGTGCAAACATATTTTTACTGTGAAACAAACATTTATGAAAAATTAAAGACAGAAATATCTTATTTATGCATTCATCCTCCTGAGTCAATACTTTGTAGAAACACCGTTTGAAGCTAATACAGTTTTGAGTTTTCTCGGATATGTTTCTTTCTGCATTGCACATCTGGATCTGGTCCATTTGAAGGACATTCATCTTCTCATTCTGAAGTCGCTCCAGTGTCGCTCTGGCTATATTCTTGGGATCGTTATCCTTTGAAGATGATTCTTTGCTCCAGTCTGAAGTCTTTTGTTGACTTAGAAGCATGTTCACCTCAGGATTTTAACTGCATCAGGCCCAGTTCATTGTTCCATCTATCTTGAAAGGAGCCCCAGTCCCAATCCCCGAAAAACATCCCCATAAAATAATACTGCCACTACCAAGCTTCATGGCAGGGATGGTGTTACACTGATGGCGTTCTGTGTCCAGGCACATCAGGCACAGCACTTTGAATCAGGCTAAAGAGTTCAATTTTTGTTTCATCGGTCCAGTTAATTTTTTACCTCAAAATCTTATGGATTTCTTCAGAGTCAACAGCAAAACATGAACTAGAGGAGCCAGAGGCCACAAACAAAAGAGAAACTAAGGAGATGTTCATTTGAAACAGAGAACAGTAGGCAGTACTGTACAAAGAGGGTTTTGGAAGTATATAACAAGCTACCCAGTTATATTGTCAAAAGTGGTACTGTTGCTTTTGGATACGGTACTGTTTAGGGCCATTGGATCTAGTAGTTACGACAAACCAAACAAAAGGCAGTGGGACCAAATGGCCTCCTGTTATTTGCAAATTCTGCTCTTATTGCTCTTATAACATAAAGATTTTGTAACATAAATGTTACAATTTGGAACAATACCATTGCTTTGTTTTTTTGTTTTCTGTTTTTCTGTTTTGACAAGCGAGTTTCTAAAAAAGCTGAAATCTTACACCCTGGAGGGTAAAATGTGGCATTCTTTTTATTTACCTTAGTGATTTCAAACTGATTTTATTTACAACCAGCATTTGCTCGGATAACATCTCTTACATACCTTTCCCCTCCATCTCAGGGGCGCGGACCCATTATATTTATAAAGTGAGACTTCAGAGCCATGCATGGCTGGTTGAAAGTGGTTTAATAAGGGTAATGTGTGTGCTGACAAGAAGAGGTTTGGGTGTGAAGACTGTTGTTTTGTCTAGCAGTGAGCCAGGTGGATGACAGTTACTGTTTGTTTATCAGCCTTCTAGTACTTGTAAAAGTGCAGTAAACTAAATGAAATCTGAGTCAATAATATGTTAATACTGTACACATCCTTGGGGGTTTCACAGTTAACATACCACTGTGAAAGAAAGTCTAAACACTACCATGTGTAACTCAGCCAATAATCTATCTTTAGCCTGAACTAATGGGTTTTCACACATACCCTTTAGTAATCTGTGTTTATGTTAGCTGTTGGCTTTTTGTCTCAAATCTAGATATCAAGGCAATCTGAAAACAGCTGTATGACGACAAGGACAACACTTTTATTTCCTACAAAACACATCTGTCATGAGGAGGGAAAACAACAACTTTAGACCCATAGCTTTTTCATGAAAATAGATCAGACTCCTGTCAAGCTAGATGAAGCTCTGTGTAGAGTCTGAAAGTAGATTTTTGGCTGAGGAATTGGCCCCTTTGTGAGACAAGCAGATCCACATGAAGAAAAACAAATTAAATCTCCTAGAGAAAAAAGTTCAATGTGGTAAGTCATCTCATAGATTTAAAATTAAGGATGGGTTTAAAAGTTCATTCATTTGTTTTCTCTGGTTTTAGATGTACAGTAAGAGGGGTAGGAAGCTGATGATGATGACAGCACTTTTCCACAGATTTTCCATTCAAAAAGACAGCAGTGCAATATACTGATAGTCTTTCAAGGGCACAAATACAGACTTTCGCATGCTGTACTGTCTCGGTGTACTGGGGTTTAACATTGTGCTGTAAAAAAATACAGCTCAGAGAAGAATGAATTGAATACTTCAGTCAACCACATTTCCCAGAACAAATTTAGGTTTTGCTTTAACACTCACATTCCACCCTTCATCAACAAAAAGGAAAGGGTGCTGTAGAATCCATAAGGAGCCACGCTCCTTAGATTTTCTGTTCATCCTTTTCTGTATCAGGTCTTAATCTGCTCTTTTAAAACAAAACACCGCAGATTTACAGCGGTTCTCTGGTGAACTCTACATCAAACCTGGTGGCCCGTTAACTGGCGTGTGACCCCTGGAGCAACTTTAACACTGGCAACACAGCTGGCTCCCATACCCAGAGGACTGAGCAGGCGTGAATTCGAGACGTTCCCACGAAGAGTCGCAGTCCCACTTCTGAGGTGGCCTCCAGCAGTTACACAGTTCATTTGGATCCTAGCAGCTGTGATAAATGAGATATTTAATATCACAGTACTTAATGGTATTTCACAAGCATGAGTGTCTCTGGATGTGGGGCGACAGCTCAGCACTTCACAAAGCCTCAAGGAACAGCTTGAGCCTTAGGGCTTTTTAGCTTCAAATCTGCGACTTTTTTTTTCAATGCCTTTCAATTAAATGTATCATTTGTTTGCTCAATTTATATTTAGCATGCAAAATAGAATCGTCATTTATCTAAATGTGATGATTATTGATTTGACATCGGTCTTCTCCAGTTGTGTATTACACTTACTGTAGCTTTATGTAATGCTGTGAATAGAGACATGAACTATGCAGAAATGCCTAGGCAAAAATATGGCAACGACTATCTAAGCTATTAGTAAATGTTACCATCAGAGGTAATATCATGAAATAATTATTTCACAGAATCATGCAATTTATAAACATTTTACCCTCAATATTATTAGACAATTCATTCAGGGCTAACAAGTAATATGTTACTAATTTATTACGATATGTTGTTTTAGATAAAAAATCCAAAATACATGGCAAAAACTTTTATTGATTTTAAATGTATTTATTGATTAAGCAGAATCTATGAAAATGTGCTTCAGTGTAAATAGGTGCATGACCTCTCTCGTGCTGTGTTCCAACTTGTCTGAAAGGAGAGATAAAGCAAAATGTATCACTTGCAGAAACAGAGCCCCTGCAGCACAGTATAACTTGTAGGTTTAATTTGCTGTCAAAGGGGGAACTCTTACGAAATTCATTGATGTCAAACATCAGTGATTTACCAAAGTCTTTCATTGCTTGTTAAGCTTAAACATCATAAAAGATGCATAAGGCTACCAGTAAATCCATGTGCAAAGTTTGCACATTGTAGATCACTGCAAGGGTTGTATTTCAGGTCTTGTGCAAGCCATAAAGCTTGTATACATTCAAGTGTAGTACATTTAGAAAATGAAGATTTTCCTGATATATAAAAATGTGTAAGTATGTTACAGCGTGGGTTCTCCACACCTTTCCTCCCCTAGCACCCCACTGAAAAGGTATAGGGAACAGATTTCTGTTGATCACTTTACAGTAGCCTCATATGGTCGGGAGCTGTGAATACGCTCCCTTCGGCTGAGGAGTAAGAAATTCTTCCTCACCGACACTTAATAATTTTTCAACCCTGGTGAACCCAGTAGTCCCGAAGCTAATCAAACAAAAGTACTGCGTGTGGGAAACCTCATCTGAGCAAAGAACAGCTGCGTGAAAACGATAATCAAAACGTGGTCCTCTGCTGTATTTCAAGCCCCGGGCTGCTGATAGGTCATGGCTGCCAAAACTGAAAGTGCCTTTTCTGCACCTGTTTCTAGCTACATTCTGAGATGACTAACGCATGTTGTAAACACATGGATCTTTTTGGATTCTCCTACAGTACACAGAGGAGTACAGAAGCTCGGTGTGAGGAGCAGCTTGTGTCTATAAACTGCCTGTGAGGTCCTACTTCCCTGCTGTCCTTTCCCATCTTCAGTACAGTTCCTGCAGCAATAGAGCCAAGATCAACATTATAATGAGCATCAGCATACTTGTTTATTAAGTAACTGATATCCTTCAGTGAACGAGTTAAAAAATCTCCAATTCTTGAATTATCACCTTGACTAATGTTTTTAGCTCAATTTTGTGGATATTTTTGGGGTCGCTGTTTACCCTGCACTTCTTGCTGAGAATCAGTCGCAGAGGAAGAAGTTTATAATATGGAAAATAAATGCATTCAGAGCTAAAAACCTCTTCTGAGCTGTAATATTGATGTTTTACTGTTTTACTGCATGTTTTACTGCACTACGTAACACTTACAGTAAATATGTTAAATATGTTACAGCAGGACTGCTGGTAGATAATAATAAATGCTTACACTTATATAGCGCTTTTCTGG